GGGGTCGTACCAAGATGGGATCGTACCAAGATCCTCTTTTCGGGTGCGCGGTCGTAATGACCGCCATTTCACACATCACGATAGGCGTACCCTGCATGGGACGCAATCCGTTACGCTTCGGTCAAAGGTCCACGGGATATCCCTATGATGGGGGAAGATGAGCGATGTCAATGATGGCTTATATTTTCCGCAATTGATGTTGGGATGTAACGATCCTATGGTAGCATGCTCATCCTTTTTTACTATTATGTACTGGTGCACGATTTTCATCTTTGTTGTTTAGCGGAAACACCACAACAATAATTTCGTCACTGATTCCAGTCAAGCGTGAGAAAGGTACCCGAAAATTATTTTCAGACCACTTTGTGCGGACCACCACTCGTGACTAAGCCGGCTTTTATCACATTTCCGGCCTGTTCTTCAAGAAAACTACCGGAAACGCTCCCACAGCGAGTTAGAAAAGGCGAAAATCCGTCGTAAATAGAAATGAGCCATAGTAAGCAGCAAGAAAACAGATGTAAAATCAAACACCAGTTTGCAGCTGAAGTAACAGGGCTACAATGCAGAAGACAACATGGACACTATCAACCCTTTAGTGCTCACAATTTGGAGCTCCGGCCATATTTCGACCCTAGTTTTATTTCCGTGCGTAGAGTGGCTAAAATTTGAAAACCAGGGGTAGCGTGCTCAGCGGAACATGAATTTCATGTCCACTTGCTCCAATACTGCCTCATGTCCGCGAGGCGGGCGCCGGCCTCAGAGCACCTCAAATCATCGCATTTGTTGAAAAATTGTCCCAAACTATTCTGACCCATTGAACACGAATATCACACGTGGAAACAACCTGTGCAACAGGCGCCGTCGCTAAAACTATTCGCAGCGTTGGCGCTCGAAACGAGGACACCGGGTAATTCCGCTAAACAAATAAAATATTCGTATTCAGGGATCCAAATTATCCCCTGGAAAGAGTTTGCCTACGTAACGAATTCCTGGCCAAGTCTCTCGAAAGAACATTTCGATCATGCTCTAGCCGTTCAGAGGGGGCAATAAGGGGTAAACAGTGTCAAAACATTTCCTGGCAAAGAGAGGTGAAATTCCGAAGACGAGGTGATAGTTAGAACGTCATGCAAAATTCATGCGGGTTACCCTTTAGAGGACTCGTTCTACGGACCGAATGAGTGGAGCTATGGAGGTGTTGCACTCAGGAGATCTCGTGGTGTAGTGGTTATCACATCTGTCTAACACACAGAAGGCCGGCGGTTCGAGCCCGCCCGAGATCAAATGTTTTGTGCAATGTTGTTGCCTGAGAGACAGAAATAGCATGCAAAACTCACGAGTCCTGCCCTTGAGTGGACTCGTTCTACCGCACCGCATGAGTAGGGCTATGGAGTCGTTGCACTCGTTTAAATTCACACTGGATTGTT